AAAAATAAAAATAAATCTATTCAACAAATAATACAGATGAATAGAAAAAAAAAACATCATTAAAAAAGTGTAGTGTACATCATTCGGATCTTCTATAAATCAAGCAATTTCAGCATATTATTTTATTAGACACGGACAAAACTAATCCTATTTTCTGAAAGTATATCCAATTCCAAAACTATCCTGACATTTTCCCTCAAAGTTACAAACCCACGCAACCCCAATAACGAAAATAAAAAATAAAGGAAAGAAAACAGGTTGCAGAATGTACAAAATTGGGAATTATGGGCAAGAAATTGGAAAGCTATGCTGAAATAAGGCCAACATAGCCTGCAATCAGTGCCAATATGGAGGATACAGTATACGCCCCGGCAACAATGAAGGGCTCTTTGATGCCACATAACTCCAGGTGGTGATGAAATGGCACCATTTGGAAAATGCGACGCCCAATTCCCTGCAACTTTTTTGTCATCTTGAAGTATACTACCTAAAATTTTAAGTACTGTTAGATGTCAAATGCAACAAGTTTACAAGAACATGAGACTATGTCCAGCCAATACATTTTAAAAATCTTTTCTCCGATTTTTAGAATCGAAAGACTACGTATGAAAAGTTATAGCATACCATTGGTCCCTCACAGAGAAAATTCCAAGGTCTGCCACTAGCAAGAGCTTGGACCAATAGGTTTAAATATTATTTTAATCCCTCTACTTTCAGCTTAAGTTCATTTTGGTTCATGTACTTTCTAAATGTCCATTTTAGTCCATGTACTTTCAATGTTGGTTCATTTTAATCCTTGTACTTTCAAAAATGTTCATTTTGGTCATTATACTATTAAAAAGTGACCAATTTGACCCCTGACCTTTGCAAAATATTAACACAAATTTTATACACAATACAAATTTATTACTATATTTCAGGAAAAAAAAATTGTGAGTGAAGTGTCATGCTAGAATTTTTGTCAAAAGAGATGAAAAATAAAAATGAAGGGACCAAAATGGTCATTTCTTAAAGATACAAGGATCAAAACAAATGTTTCAAAAGTATAGGGACTAAAATGGCCCAAAGATTAAAATATAGAGACCAAAATAAACGTTTAAGAGTACAAAGATCAAAATGAATCAAAGACAAAGTTACCCCTTTCGTGATTAATTCTCCTTGGGTTATGGACATGAGCCAACTTACACGCACTTCGACTAATCTCACGAGACAACTGTTTGACCCTACTACAATTGGTTACCAACGTAACTCGTAAGATATTAAATCCTAGATAGATGGCCATGATGGTTTGAACTCATTCCCTCTAAGCCTTTTACAATTTACATTGACCTTTATTAACCACTGGACTAAACCATGATAGCTTACGGGCGTGTATTTCTTGTTTACCCTTTTGTGTACTATTCATATATGAAATATAAATCATAATCAACGAAAACTTTTGTTTCTTATTCAAGAAAAAAGTTGGCTTATTTCTCATTTCAGAGAAGCATAGAGAGAAGAAAATGGAACAGCCAGTAAGAATAAAAATCATACCTGCATGATAACTGACGATGTTTCTAATACGAAGACTAGAGAAGAAATGAATAGTGGGAAAAACATTCCACTACAAGCAGCCATTGCAGCTAATGCTCCACCAAGTGCAAAGGATCCAGTATCACCCATGAATACAGAGGCCTTAAATCTGTTGTGCAAAAGAAAACCAACACACGCTCCAGACATTGATGCTCCAAATATAGAAAGGTCTGAATTGAAATTGCAATACAAATCAGTATTTCAGTATCATAAACTAAGAAACTCTCATAATGCAGAATGATTGATTTCTAGGACCAATTTGTAAACTTAGATCCAGTTTCTTGCCTCAAAAATTATGTTGGATAGTATTTACCAGATTGCAGAATTTTATAACGTAACAGAGTCCAGTTGAAGAATATTACCAGTTGCAGAATTTTTTAGCTTACACCTAATCTCCCTCCCTCTCTCTCTCTCACGCACCATAATTAACCCTTTCAAACAAAAGCGAAGATTTCTGCACTTTATCCTGACTCCTACTGTACTATTGCAATCAAATGAGACCCAAGGAAGATTTACACACACTACATATTAACATTTTCACATGTTAAAAAGCATACCACATTATGCGAACTCCTAGCATATAATTGTGGTTAAATGAGATGCAAGAAAGATTTGGCACCACGTGAAACTTTGCAGGGAAAAAACATTTCAATAAATTTTCATTATTTTATAACAGCACCATATGTCCCAAATACATACATAAAAAATGTTGAAAAGATCTCAGCTTGTAAAGATAGTGCTAGGAATGCAATTAGGCGTAATTGTTAGGAATAATATTAGATAGCAAGGGCATATTAGTTATTAACCAAGAAGTTGGTTATAAACCAAGGTGGGAGGGGGATGAAGGTGGTCGTGGATTAGTTGGTTTAGGCTTTAGGATCCTCAGGTGTTGAGAGGTTCCAAATATCTTGAATACTCGGGTTGTTATTGTACTTCCTTATCTTTTACGTTTCAATAAAACTATAGTTCTTCAGTTTTTATTACATAGTTTCTTTAAACAATAAATAAAAGACAAAAGAAGAAAAAAGCTCAAGGGTGTTGTACTAACCAGAAGATATTGGAAGCACTGCAATAGCCATACCGATGAAAGCCAAGGCAGCAGTTCCGCCAGCTAATCCATCAAGACCATCGGTCAGGTTTATTCCATTTCCCATGGAGACAAAACAAAACGAAGTCAACCACATATAGCATTTTCCAAGGAATACAAGGCCAATAGGTGCAGGCATAGGAATCAACATTTTCCTGCATTTCAAGTCAAAGGTTCGGTTCACTAAAAGTGAAAAATTTTATCTTTGGTAATGGTAGCACGGAAAAGGCCAAAATCAACAAACATGACATGCGTTGTCAAAATAACCAGCAAAAAAAGCTTACATTCCATTATAAGTAATATTTAATGAACAGAAAAATTAAAACAGTAATTTGGATGCATGCCATCACACTATACAAAATTTATGGCTAATAAGCCAGACATCTAGCTTTCAAGCATTCAAAATCCTTATCTAATTAATTAACGAGATTTGGAAAGCAAAAATACTGCAAAAATTAGGAAACCTTATTCGATCAAATGCAGGGCGAGAACAAGCAAGGAAACAAGAGAATAAATTGAGTACAGGTTAACAAAAAGACATGCCTTGAAATCAAGAGGCGGGGTATTTCCAAATGCTGTAGACAGTCTAATTCTTACTAAAAATAACAATGACATGACATAATTTCTTTTCTCCAGCATCCAGCCAAAATTTTCAGAACTTACAACTAAAAGTTATATACAATTGTCCAACGAAGGCAAAAACCTGCTTATAAGATACAAACTAAGTTCCCCAATGCTTTAAATAGAACACTGAGGTTTGTAGAAGCATAACGGTTGTTCATATAGCAAGCAACATCTGTAGAAAATTTCACTGGTACTAATATTAAATAACTCGCAATTAATCAGGTTAATTAATTACAAAACCAAAAAGTTTTACAGTTTTTTCTAATCTATAGTTCCAGGACCATTTATTAGGTACTTGACATTGCCGGAAGACTCTTCAGGTTGAAAGGCATCCCAGTTTAGGATATCCTATATGCTACATTCACGTAACATATGCACTATTTGGTTATGACTATTTGCATCGGTGCGTGTATATGTCTCTGCTCTGCATTGGTTCCTCATAAAATGCAAACTTTAAGGTCATTTTCCAAGCTCAGTAACATTCATGATACGCTTAGTTATTTTCTTTTAAAGGTTTATCAGTGCGAGTATAGATATGTGAGTTACCATCAGAAAATGGTGGTCAGATTAGTACAAGAAAGTATACATGCTGTAAGGAGATGATAAACTTGCGTCTTGGAGCCAAAAAGAAAACCACATTCCAACAGCTACCTGTAAATACCAACGGAAGAAAACTTATTCAGGCCATGAAAAATGCACCTAGTTTGTATAGGGAGGTGGGGTTAATAAGTCTCACCTGCAGCAAAATTTTGATCCATGCAGACAAACCACAATTGTGACTCTTGATTAGGCTTAAGATATCATCTACTAGTCCAATACCTAAAAATGCTATAGTTGCCACTGATGCTCCCGAAACTTCAGCAGAAGAAAAATCAGTAAAGCGTTTAGCAACAGCTATGCCAATTGGCACAAAAAACAATCCACCCATAGTAGGTGTCTTTCTCTTTAACGCGTGTCTAACAGGTCTTTCTTGCCTCGTAATTTGGTAAACCTTAAGCTGATACAGTAGTGGAACACAAATATAGCCTGCACATGAGGCTAAAAAGGCCGATGTCAAAAAAGGGCCAGTCAAGTGAAATGGTCCTAAAGGAAGTCGAACGATTCGCCATGCACACCAATCCACATAGATAAGAAGGATCATCAAGAAAACTATCAGTCCTGTATTTGTAAAAAGCCCATGCCTGATCCTGAATACAACCACAATAAGACCAATGTCAGACCAGAAAAAAGAGCATGCTGATCACTCATGAGATGAGCTATTCACAGTTTATAACCATTTAGATAGAAAACATAAATCACGCAAATAAACTGAAATATGGGAATGAACACGCAGGATAGAATAAATGCTAGCTAAAATGTTGAACTTATTAACAAATAAGATAAATATAGGTTTGGGCACTTATCCTTTTCTTTCTTTCCCCCAAGGCATCCTTTTTTAACTTCATATTAAGTACTGCAACCCCAAGAAAAATAATCAAGATCAAAACTTTGACCTTCTACAATCTAGAACTTCCGCAACATATTGCAAATATTGGTGGATGGTCTCATTCTCTGCAACCCAATTATAGACAAAGATTTGCATGAAAACTTCATACGTCTTTCCAACAACCAATTTCTAGCATTCCAAGGAACTATGAGTCTGCAACTAACAGCCGATGTAAAAAGCACAAAATGATCTTACCGTCCTATGTCAACTAGTCTTAACTAGCAATTACAAGTACATTGCGATTACGATACCAAAGGAACAACAATAATATCAGATGGATAAGACAGGATGAGATTTTAATGAAAATTCTCAATGACTTTGTAGAACACCTAAGGTTAAAGATGATATGAATAGCAAATTAATTTATTGCTCATACAGTGTAGAACATGAAAACAAGTTGAGTAAATGAAATGGAGTATAATGGAAAGGAAAATTTTACAAATGAACTTGTTATCACTTATCAGCAGGTGTTTTGCTGTTTTTTCATTGATTAATAATTATAAAGTGTAAACAAGTACATGAGGACAAAGTAAACCTCTCAACTCATTTCTATCAAAGTAAATAACTCATAGATCCATCACCTGTGTTTCTGACGTCCTCTACTAAGCATTGCCATACGGTGAGCAGTCACCGTCAGAGCATCATTGTGTTGCACTGAAACAGTTGGCAAATCAACATCTGAAACTGGATTTAGTATGATCTCTGGATCGCTATCTTCACCATCACTGGATGGAAGCGCATATCCAGTAGCCCCCTCATGGTCACTGAAGTTGTCAAGCGAGGGGATGTCAAAATCAAACGAATCCTAAAGAAAGTTAAATGCATATTAGTATAATGATGTTAAATCTTTTGCACTAACAAAAACGAACCACTTTCCTTCTCTAATTTCCAGCAATGTCATTCCAACGCTATGAAGCCTAGCCTAACCCTCAATGCAGGAGTGAAACTAGTCTGACACTGTTTAGGTAACACTTTCAAAATATTTATTTTCCGAATAACAGCCCATGAAACATTACTTTTTGAAACATCACTTTAACCATAGTTATCCAGTATATGATTAGCATGGCTTTAAACACGGATGACGTCCATTAAGTTATCAAATATCGCTGTCATGTTGACCTCAGAACTTCATATCAGCATGTGCAACACTCAATCCTCCTAATAAAATTTAATCAAACACAATAACGGATGTATATAGACCTGATCGAAGGCTTTAACTTCAGTAAAACTACGTGGTCTATGGTATCGAGTCGTATGAACCTTCGACGCTCTTATCTGCACATAAGAAGCAAATTTAAGAATCCAAGCATCCAATCAAATTTTTGCTCAAACCAACCTATGTTAAAATAGCAACATCGTTTTTGTATGAAATGAAGTTTTTCATAACAAACAACACTGAACATTACAAAACAATATACGCCCGCAGCAAGGTTAAAAATAACAACTAATGCTACTGATGATCATTCCGATTGAAATATTGCTTTTCTTATATTCTCAATCGGGCTTCGGAAGTGTCTCTCTGTTTTGCCTTACTAATTACATCCTTGTGTATCTGATAACTTCCTAAGCCCGTACAATTCACCGCAAAAATAAATTCTCTCGAAATCAAACAAGGATTGATCACCACAAAACAGATAACAGCAAGCTGGAAATGATAAAATGAAGAACTAACATTGACGCCGTAATACGAATCGGCACAGAAGCACGTCGTCGAAGAATTGGTGAAGTTCCTTGCATGTGCGGCTATGGCGAACTGCGGCGGCCATCGGAAATGCCATGAACGACGGTGGTGGTCGCGGAGACGAAGATTCGAAGTCTGGGAACGAGACAGCATCGTTACAAACGAGGAAGTCGACGATCCGAAGCATCAGATCTGCGAATCGGGAAGGTGGGAGAAGAGAACAAGGACGTTAAAAAATGAAGATTGAAGGAGATATTCGAATTCAAAGCATTTCGCAGCTCCTGTGCAGCCATGGTTCGGTCGCGGGAATTTAACAACGCTGGTAACTGCCACGCGCCTCCTTGCGCGTGGGACAATGGGTGGAACATGAACCCAACATGCACAAAATTGATTAGCCGAAGTTTCAGAGGCGGCCGATTTTGAGATGCCGCGAAATGAAGAGGACTTAGGATGAGAAATGGGCGCCGTTGCGTCCGATGTGACCTCGGTTGAGCAGCACCAAAATTGGATTATATGTTTTATTTTTAGGCTAAATATATATTTTAGATAAAATATATTTTTGATTCCTGAAGGTAGATTTCGTTAGTATCCAGAAAATCAGGTGGAGAGGAAGTGAGAACCAGGTGAAGGATGAAGAGGGAAGAGAGAGGGAGAGAAATGCCACATCAGCATTGCGTTTGTGAGATTAACGGAATGTTAATCCGATGGACTTTTATAATCATTTTCTAAAGGTCAGGGATCAAATAAAAATCTATCTTCAAATTCGTGAACCAAAAATATATTTTACCATATATTTTACTACATAATATTCGAATTTTTTAAAGATTATAAATATATGTTTTAGTATGTTTTTTGTTAAGTAATAAAAAAATAGCATGTGGTTTTTCTATTTGGTTCTTATTGTTTAACCTTTATTCGGTTAAAATTGGTTGATGATAAATTTACATGTCGTTGTGGGTAAAATGAAGTTCTTTGAGTCGTGCGCATAAGCTACAAGGGTTAAGATCAATGGGTCAATTCGTTGACGAATCCAACCTTCAGTGTCTCAAAATCTAAAGATAAATCAAGGAATATGAATTCTCTTTATGCTACAAAAATCATAATTATTGTTATGCTTCGTACAAACTCAAATTTGATATCAGATTATGTGCGGTAGCATCGCACTAATGTGTAACCTCTTTATTTTTGCAAGTTAAGTCGAAGCTCTTTATTCGATAAAAATTGTTCGGATTTGATTATTGTATTATGTCAAATTTAAGCATTAACCTGCCATGATATTTAATGAGGTTGCATACATATATATAATAAATTAAGCCATGTAAGAAAAAAAATTTCGTAATTCCACGTTCGATTTTTTTTAGATTTTAGCAAAAATTTTGATATTTATTATTTTAGATGGTCTAATTCCTCTAAATTTCTATCAATTTGATAAGATATGTCAAAGCGTTCTCATCAATTAATTTTAAAATGTACCGACATGAAATGTATAATCGAAACTCTAAATTGAAACTTTTAAATAGGGACCAAATTAAAAAAAAAACATTCAAATATTAACAACTATATATATATATAATCTTTAAAACAAAAGTTGTCCGTATTATTTTAAAAATTTTAATTTAATCTTTTTGTTTTGATATCATTCAACTGTACTATTTTTATCGGTAATGTTAGACTAATGATATTATATGTTGCCAACGTTGGTATGATGATTGGTAGGTCAATTAAAAATTTGAGGAAATTTTATAATATTTAAAAAATAATGATAAATTTTGATAATGGATTATAAACCTCTTATTTAGACTTAATATTTTTTTTCTTTTTTAGTACATCTAGACTTAATTACTCCTCTGATTTTCTATCAACTCACTTGTTTTCATATCATGTAAATTTGATTATTGATCTAACATTTGCATACTATACAAAAAACCATAAATTGTATAATTAAAAAAAGTATTAAAATTAAATGTGAGGGGCTAAATGTAAAAATATTAAAACATTATTAATTAAAAAATATATTTAGTCAGTATATGATTAAATCCTAATTTTAATTATTATACTTTAATGCATTTGTTTTAATGAGTTAAATTGGTTAGAGTTCAAATAGTTATGATACAATTATGTCAAGAGTTTGAATGCTAGCCTTGTATTTTAAATATTATTATTATTATTATTATTATTATTATTATTATTATATATAGGAATAAATATTATATTATATTACATATTTTTTTAAAGGAAAGCAACTTTATTAAGCCTGAAGCAAATGCTAAAATCTTGAGCCAATTACAAATGTCCCTTCTAGAATCATGAATGATCCATATGAGAAAGTGTGAAGAACAGACACCAAAAGCCTTCATTAGCGAAGGCGCGCATTCGAAGCTAACTTGTGAGTCTAAAATCAACACATATAAATGTTCGTAACTGATAAACATCCATAATACGATATCTTGTCATATTGATGTGCAAAGGGGGGATTATTGAATGTGATATTGGTTGAATCAAAGTCAACTATTTTTTTCAAAGGTAAATTAGAAATATGGTTATAGCGAATTTTTACGATTTTTTGAATTGTCGATAATGGTTGTTGAATTTGTATAATTCTATTTTACCTAATTTGTATGACTCATACATCAATTACGCATTGAATTATTATTCACTCTCAATCAAACATCGTTTAAATTTAAGGATAACGACTTTTTTAGGCACCTAATTACTACAAATTCGTTAAAATAGTGACTCTTTTACGATGGGATCCGTATAAAAATTATCAATCTACCCATAATCATGTATTTTTTAAGTTTAACCTACTAGATACAATTATGTATGTAGTTTGTACATGTCCGAAACACCTTTACTTAAAATTTTTTTTAAATACAATGGTAGGGAGTGAAAATTTAAACTCACAACCTCTTGATGAGAGATAATACCAATTACCGTTGAGCTAAATTCAGGTTGACGCATTTACTTAAAAGTTAAACATAATAACATGTCTTAATATCACACCAACCATCTTAATTAAGATAACATGTTGCTAGTATATATGTACAGTACAGGGGTTCGACACTTGGCTATAATTGTTAGCGGGACATAATTTGATTGTCGAATTCAAGTATTTTTAATTTTTTTTTAATACAACAAAAAAAGAAAAACAAAGCAAATTAGGAAATACAGTACAAACATTCGAGAGTTAGGACAGAAAGTAGCTCTGACGGCCAACCCTCCAACCAAACTCTATCTTCGTGATGAAGAAGAGTTCTTCGTACAAGTAGATGTGCCGCAACGTTGCCTTCCTTCTTAGTAAACGAGACGCACAGCTAACCCACCACAGGTAAATGTCATTTCACAAGTGAAATCATCCCCCCAGTTTCCTAAATATCCTCTAAATCTTTGTTTAAAACTGAAAAATTCTATATGAATCAGTTTCCAAATGCAGCGGACGAATTCCAACCTCCGAAGCCAAAACGACTCCTTCCGCAACAGCCAACGCTTCAGCCTCATCCACCGAAGTCACAACCTTAAGGTATTTCGTCTTTGAAGCTATAACCTGCCATCTGAAATCTCGAATAATAATATCCATACCTACAGTAGAATCTAACAAAGAAACGACAGTATCTATGATTTTTAAAATTGAAAGTTTTGTCTTCCATTCCATACAGGGAAAAAAATGTGCAACTAATTTCCCTATTACTTTTTTATTCAACATATTGTTACAGGACAAAAAATAGACAATTAGACTGAATAGCCTTTTCTAAAGGCCAACTATGAAATGTATCACCAACTCCAAATTAATTTTATGTTTTCTAACAATTTGCTTATGTCACTTTTGCATGAAATTACAAATTACCCTTGTTATCTTATCTCTTGTTTTCTCTGCTCTTTCCTCCTCCTCTCAACTATCTCTTTCTCTCTCTTATTCATTCTTCCATTTCTCGGCACATTCTTTTCCTCTCTGTGTGATTTGATTTTTTTTTCACTATCAGATTTTTCAAGAACGTGCACTCATCTCTCTCCCTCTCTCTTTCTTCCATTTTTTTCTACACAACATCCCATTCGATTTTTTGTTTTCCTTTGATTTTCGATTTTTTGTTTTGATTTGGAAGACATGCACTTTTCTCTCTCCTCTCTCTTCCTTATTTTTCATTCGTCTCCTCTCAATCTTGCTTGATTCCAGTGTTGGAGCTTAAAATTCAAAAAACAAAATAACAAATACACAGCACACAAAAGAACGGGTCACACTAAAAGAGAGGTAAAAACTTGACAAATAACACCAAGAACAAAGTGTTTACACAAACCCCCCACATAAAAAAAATAGAACACACAAAAAAAGGCTATTGCTCCTGTCGCTCTCACTCCTCTCGCTCTCGACGTATGTCTCTCATCAGAAAAAAAATCGTAAATGGAGCTTGTTGCTTGTTTTTTCAGAGAAGGTGAAGAAAAAATAATGGGAATGGGAAGAGGCGGGGGTGATAAGGAGGAAGATATCAAGAAATATTTAGGGTTTTTTTATAATGAGTAAATAAAAGAGAGAAAGTTGGTTGAATTTTTCAAGAAAGAGAGAATTTATAACGATACGAGCGAAGGAATAGGAGAGAGAAAGGGGGAGAAAGTAATAAATTGGAGAAAAATGAAGAGGATAAATATGTATTTTCACACAAAATTGATGTCAGCAAATATTTAATGAAGAAAGGGACCACATCTCATTTCATAATGCATTTGAAAAAGGCTATTTAGCCTGATTGTAAAAAAAAAAATGTGCAACTAATTTCCATATTACTTTTTTATTCAACATATTGTTATGCACCCTCTATATATATAGTTTTTGTTAGTGGGATGGAAATTAGAATCTATAATCATCGTGATACATATTTAAAACAACTGAATTATGCTCAAGTTTACATTAAAATTATAATCTACAATCATCGTGATATGTACTTTAAACGGTTGAATTATGCTCAAGTTGACATTATGTACTAGCACTATAATCTCTCAATGTCACAAATCATTAATTATTCACGTTGAAATAAATCACCTCACTACTACTAAAAACACCACCTCACTTGTGTATGTCCATTTTTTGTCGATTATTAATTAGTTTTACAGTAAACACTAAACTCGATTAAAACTTAAGAAACTAATGTAAAATTTTGGCCAAAATGAATATAGTTGGGCGGTAATTGGCATATATCTTTGTCTTCAATCAAGAATATCAATTAAAATCGAAAAAAACCAAATGATATTTATCAATTCAATTATCCTATCTTTTAATATTTTCGATTATACCTATTAAGTCATTTGAAAAATTTGTTTTTTTTTCTTTTTACTTTTAATTTTTTTTAAAGAACCCATTTGATAAGTATAATTCACTGACAATCTTAAGGACTAAATTGATAATTATCTAAAATATAACATATTGTTTTATATATTTAACCAACTATATATAAAAAAATGTCTACCCGACAGTACATATATTTATTCACTTTACTATCATGTATTCAATTTGACGTGTGATCTTTAACATTAAAAAACTATTATAAAAGTATAATGATCCTTATTTAGATGTCTGAAGTTCTTCATTTCTACATTTGATGTAGTAAAAAAACTTGTCAAATAAAAAAGATGTTAAAGAAAAACTATATTTATTTTAAATAGTGTAGAAATAGGGATTCAAACTTACCACACTTAACCAATTAGTTATACTCAACTTAGCAACTAAAAAAATTTATTACAAATGTAAAATCAAATAAATAAAAAGTAGTATAATAGTAACAAAGGTTTGAAAATGTTGAAGTCTAATTTAATGGAAATATGATAAAATATCAATGCCAATAATATTTATATAAAAATTAGAAAAATAAAAAATCATAAAAAATATTTAAATGGACAAATAACTATTTTTGTATTTATTTATTTTTTTTGATAAAGAATACTTTTATATTGATAAATAAATTAAGTACGAGTAATAATATGATATGATATACACATATATATATATATATTACTATATTTTGTTGATATTTTTCATATTTTATCCAATTTTCTGTGGTATAATAGAAATATCGATTTCTGAACCGATTGACCTAGGCGCAGACGGCTACTTAATATGATGGTTACGTTGCAGTAGTTGAATTTTTCCAGTTGAAAATGAGAAAGAAAAGGAAAAGAGAAAAGAAAAAAAAAGTATAATTTGACCTACATTTGTCTTCCCATTTAAAATTGGAGCACTGTGTAAATTAACCTGGTCTCCGAACTGCCTTCCGCGCGCAGAGGAAGTCGACGATCCAGTAACAATGAGTTCTGCAAGCGCTCTTCGAGAACTACAGCGCGAGCTGGAGGCGAAAGCCAACGAGCTCAGCAAGCTACAGAAAGGCAAGCCTCCAATTGATTTTCGCTCCCCCCTGTTCCCACCACTTGCACGATTTATCGAAACTTTAATATTTCAATTAGATTACTGTGTCGAATGTTCTATCTGGATTCTGTACAATCAACTTACTTTCACAAAAACCCTAACAGTTGATGGATGTATCAGATATTGCGAAGAACCACCAAGTGAGGAAGAAATACACTATTCAGCTGGGTGAGAATGAGCTCGTCCTTAAGGTTTTGACACACCTTCACAACCTTTTTTTTTCTCTCGTAGATTAAAGTATATGGTTGTTCGTAGTTCAATAGCGAGGAGGTGAAGGACGACAATTTTGGTGACCTGGGTATTTCTGTCCGTGCAGAAGTGTTGCAAAGAGCACTATTGATTTTATCGATTTTTTTCCCGTTTCAGTCTAGATTTTCCCGTGTTATAATTAATTATTGTATTGTAGTAGAATTAAGAGGTCACAGGGGCCGATTGTGTCAAGGGGATGTTTTTCACTTGATATAAAATGTAGCTCAGATTATGAAACTTTTTTTTGTTTAATTTATTTGATTTGGTATACAATGAGAAATTCAAAGCTTTCTTATCAATGTATCTTTTTTTTTTTATCAGACAAATTGATTTCTACTAGCTGTGAACATGTTCTTTCTTGCTTGGCTTGTTTGCTTGCATGCGCAGGAATTGGATCTACTGAATGATGATGCAAATGTGTATAAACTGATTGGTCCAGTACTCGTGAAGCAGGATCTGGCAGAAGCAAATGCGAACGTTCGCAAGCGAATAGACTACATCTCTGCTGAATTGTATGTTTTTTCATTTGTTTTTTTTTCTGTTAGTTTTTGCAGTTAATGGATAGTAGTGACTCTAATACCATAGCTCTAATCATTTGAAAACCATTATCTAACTAACTACTAATGGGATTTTTTTGAAGTCTATGATTCTTCTGTCATTTAAATTTCTCTTATATCTCTCAGTTATCAAGTTGTTACTTTGTTTTGAACGATAATATCATGTCTGGTACCAATTATCCACTATCCAGAAAACATTACTTGGTAACATTCAAGCAAAATCCTAGACTATTTTGGTAGAAGCCATTGACTTTCTCATCTTTATTTTAGTTTTTATGAGATAATATATACTTCCAAACAAGAAAGAAGGGTTATTAGCTAGAGGGTAGAGGGTAGAGAGAAACTTTGCCAAAGGACATTATTAAAATAAAACCTTCCGAATCAAGGATGATAAATGGAATACTGTTATTACCAAAATCTTTCCTCATCTTTTCTCCAATGCCTATATTTTTTCTTTCTGAACCTGACCAAAATTGGTTGGAGATAGCATCTCTGCCAGGGAAAGGTTGTTAGGAGGATAGGGTCCTCAGGTTTTGAAGATGCAAGTTTATGGATGGAATTCTGAATAATATGCCTAAAGTTCAACTATTTTTTTTTCAATATCCGGTCGACCAAGTTTGGCTTCCTACTACTGCCTTCTAGTTTCAAATAGTTCTGCTTCCTCTTTTGTTAGCGATCTTTTTGACCACACCAAGATATGACTGATCCAAAGCCTCCTAAGTAACTTTTGAGAGAGAGGGCACAGGAATAAGTTCACAGAGAACATCCTCACTCTAGGCCATGGTGTAAGCATTAAACTACACCTTCCTTCTATCATTCCTTCCATAGAGTTTTTGACAAAGTTAATGACAAACACCTTGTACTCCATAGAGCTTTTAACTGCTAAGTGAAAAGTAGCAATTGGAACAACAAGGGGGAGAGAAAGAATACGTAATACAACGAGCCAACAGGCAGATGAATAAGGTGCTAATGAGAGAGGAAGAGGGAGTGAAAGCCATAAGATAGACTTATCGCAATGCTTCATTTGTGTTTTATCACCAACTATGAGAACTGTGCCTATATGAATAATATCAATAGTTTACTTGCAAGGTTTCATGAATCAAATTAATGTTAGAGCTCATATGTTTAGGAAAGTTTTGATAACAATCATAATCTATAAACTTCAACTTTTGAGTTTAGTGGTAATTTAACATGGTATTAGAATGAGAGTGAGAGGGCTCAAATTCAAATCTCTACAATAGTGCAATGTAATCTTTTCCCATTTCGTGTAATAGTCTACATGTTAGACCTTGTATAGTAGTTCTTTTTAGGGGAGTAGAGGTAAGGTTTCATTAATCAAATTAATATTTGAGCTCACATGTGGACGGGAGTATTGGTAATGTACTAAAAGAGATTAAATATATTCCTAACTTATCAACTTACACTTTTGAGTCTAGTGGTAATTAACATGGTATTAGAATGAAAGATATTAGGTTTAAATCTCTATAATGTCATCTTATCCCCATTTAATGTATAGTCCACACGTTATATGTTGTGTGCTAATATTCGAGCAGACACTATGAGGGAATATTTAGTATGTCAAATAATTACATCTATCTTAGCTTATTAACTTAAACTTTTGAGTTGAACTATGATTTAACATGATATTAGAGCAGGAATTCCTTATTTCAAGCCTTACAATGTCATTTCCTCTTAAATGATTAATATTAATAATTATTTATTGGGCCTCGTAAATAAATAATATTTTGAGCTCACATGTATTGGGAATGTTAGAATGTATTGAAAAAGAATTAAATATACTCTAATTTGTACTAAAAAAAAACTCCAATCTATTAGCGACGTTTTGGTTAAGAAAATGAGCTTAAAAAAAAGAGGTGGGTAGGTAGATTAGAAAGTGAGCTAAACATAAGAAGAGCTAGAGTGAAAGGAGGAGATTTAACAAGAGTGCCGAGTTAGACCATCAATAAGAAATAGGAAGTGAGAGATTTATTAACGGAGAGAGAAAGTTTACCTTTTATTTTGGGTGCTAATTTTCCAGATCGATATTCTTGCATTTTACTCTATTAGTCGCAGCAATCTTCTTCTACCGTGGTAATATAGTTTTCTTGTATCAGTCACGATTTTTATGAACTTTAATTAAATGATATTTCTCAATTAGGAAACGTCTTGATTCAGCCCTTCAAGATTTGGAAGAGAAGCAAAATAGCAAGAGAGATGCGGTTTGTACTTTTCATACTTCTATAGATCTTAAAGCTAAGTAGCTAACCCTTTTGGTGATATTTGCAGGACCCAAGGAAAGCAATAAATTTTTTTCTTTTTTGTGCTTGATTCTTGCTTGTTTGTTGGATAATCCATAAATGATTTTACTTGTTTTTAGAAATTATGAATTCAAAACTATCATTGTTTGACCTAGTGGTCAATAAAAGCCTATGTAAATAGTAAAAGTCTTAGAGGGAATGGATTCTAACTATAGTGATGACTTTACGCAGGATCTATACATAGGTTGTATAATTGTGTCATTGAGTTTCAAGGGTTCAAACCATGGTGGCCACCTATATAGGATAATCTCACAAGTTCCTTGGGAAACAAATGTAGTAGGATTAGACGGTTATCTTAGAGAGATGCGGTTTGTTCTTTTTGTATTTCTATAGATCTTAAAGCTAATCTTTTTGGTGATATTTGCAAGACCCCAAGGAAAGCAATCAATTTTTTTCTTTCTTGTGCTTGATTGTTGATTCTTGCTTGTTTGTTGGAGAATCCACAAATGATTACTTGTTTTTAGAAACGATGAATACAAAACTATCCTTGTTCGACCTAGTGGTCAATAAAAGCCTATGTAAATAGTGAAAGTCTTAGAGGGAATGAATTCAAACTATGGTGATGACTTTATGCAGGATCTATACATTGGTTGTGTAATTGTGTCATTGAGTTTCCAGGGTTCAAACCATGGTGGCCACCTACATGGGGTTTAAATCGCATGAGTTACTTTGGCAATCAAATGTAGTAGGATTAGACGATTGTCTCGTGTAGGGGTGCAAGAGAAACTGACCCAACCGATCGAAACCGACGTCGAATTGATTTTCGTTTTGGGTTGGTCCAGAGCCAAACGAGTACATGTAAGAACATATGCTTGAAATCCCTCTCCATCATCACACCACTTGGCCTAGGCCCATATTATTTGAAGCCCACCTTCCGCCTTCAAAACCAGCCCTCTTTCCATGTAAATATGCCTAAAATTCCTCCCCGAATACCAAAATCCCAAAAATAGAAAATCCCAGAGTTGTCACCTCCTCCTCACAATCTTCTCTCTTCAAAGTTCAAATACCCAAATCTTCTTATTCCTGAAATCTCTCTCCAAATACTCAAATCCCAAAAATAGCCGAATCACACCGGTGGAATCTCGTCATCTCCTTCCTGATCCATGAAACCCCATAGGTGAGATCTCAAAATCAATGAAATACAAAACCAAATAGAGTGTAGACTCTCTCCAGGAAATGTCTGGTTGGCTCTTTCCTTAATCTTCTCTTATCTCCTGGGTTATGATTATGGTTGAAAAAACCCAGCCTAGTTTTGAGATTGATGGAAAAAGAAAAAAATGGAGAAAGAGACCGTTGAATCAATTTAGTGAGGCAAAAATGACCTAAATCCGCACAACCGACCTTGAAGTCGTACAGATAGATCCGAACCTGCGCAACATTGGCATTTGATTACCTAAACAGTTAAACCGCCTAAACAAACCAACGGGTTCGATCGGTGCGGTTTCTGTCAATTAGGCGGTTAGGCTCGGTTTCAAATTATTTTCTTTAAAAATTATCGGTTCGGTTTCGGTTTCACCTTTAAACCGAACCGATTACACCCCTAATCTTGTGAGAATAGTTGAGATGTGCGCAAACCGGTACAAATGCTGACAGTTATAAGGAAGATGAATACACAAAACAAATGTAAAATGTGTCTTGTGAAAAAAATTTTGAAAACAAGGGAATTTTATTTTAAACCACAGGTAAATTGAGAAAATAAGATGTTTTCTGAGCATTCTCCTTCATCCCCTCTCTCCTTGATGTGAAACTAAGTTGGAGATGCATGGCCTTCCCCTGCCCACTACCTTATATCTAGGTTGAACTCATGGTAGTAATAGTTGAAGTTGCTTTGGAGTTGTGCGTCAAAAGCCCTTTTTTGAAACCTTTGGTTAGAAAGAAAACATCGGTGTTTTGAAGATAAGTCCTCGTCTTTTGACTCTTTTGTTACAATGTACATCCTCTCTTTTTGACTCTTTTTAGGTTGTTTCATTTTGCTCCTTTGTTTGGTGAAACGTTTTCTTATAAAAAAAGTTGGACTGGATAGTGGTTTTTGGAACTTTCCCATGTTTAAGTTGAAGTTGTTGTTTTAAGTCAAATGGAAACCCTCTATCAAACTTAATTGGAGTAAGAAAGAAACTAAATCGAAGTCCTTTGCAATCGAAACAATTGACAACCAGGTTTACTTTTTTTCTCTAGTTCAGGTGATGAGTTTAAGTATTATGTGAAAGCTTGTTTAGATTGAAGTTAAGGCAATAGTGCAGAACCCAATATGTTGGGTCTTGGATCAAGTGGAAAAGGCTATCTACCTGAACAGTGGAAAAAATGAAGCTATCATACTGGCATGGAATGTTTTTCTGCTGATGAATTTCTGAGTGTAATGCTTAAAATTAAGAATAGGCCGACTAGGAATAATAGGCTTCTTTTGCCACAATTGTCCCTGATGACAGAAAACTTCTGTCATATTTCAGTACCATTTGTTAATTGTTTAGCATAAACCTTTTCTGCTGTGGATAAACTAGTCAGATACTTTTCAAATCAATTGCTTATTGTTGGTTTGCTGTCTTGCAGATATTGAAGTTACAGCAGAGGATTCAATCTCTGCAGGCTGGAAAAGCTAAAGCGTAACATGTTTTATTCGTTGTTTTTCAGCTGTACGTCCTAAATTTCTGTCTATCTTTTTCAATCTCTCTTGTACCAGTTAATTATGCGCTTGCTCACTCAAAAGCTTGACTCTATCTAATTAGTTCGATTTTGATAATAGATATGTGCATTGCGTCTGTTGAACTTCCATACTCCTTGCAAAGTATTTGATGACAACTTGGCATCTCCAAAAAAAATATTTACCATTTGTAATTTCAAATTTGACAAGAATTTGGCATCCCAAAAAAAAAGGCATCGATGATAAACTGCTTCTGAATTTCAAGGGTGGGTATATATGGGGACGGTGGTTTTATCCACCCTAGGTTGGTGTCTGCCACTCTTTGGTCTGAATGGACTTTTGCTATTGACTGTTGTATGTGCTCTTATCTTTTACTCCGCCTGGTAGTTCATTTCCTTCACAGCTTAATGGTGGTTCCATACACCTTGTTGCCCATCTTTTAGTCTACCTATTATTGCTCTAGGTAATGATCATCCCCATTTTAGTCTGACTAAAACCTTTTCAGTTCAGATGGTTTTTGCTTTATAGAAAATAACTTGAGTATTTAGGCTAGCTTACATACATCTCTTAGGATATTTAATTTATTAGATAGGTCACCACTATCTAATACACACGTTTCTTATCAAAGAAAAAAAAAGATAGGTCACCACTATGGTATGAACCCATTTTGAATTCAAACTTTTCCCCTTTCAATAATTCTTTGTGATTGAAAGCAACAGAGGTTGTCAAATTGGATAGAACAATCAGGTGCCAACCATACAAGATTGGTGGCTCATAAAGCTTTTCAGACCACTTTCTGTCCCCATTCAGTGATTACCTGAAATAAAAATCCAGAAATCGAATGTTTTAGGTTGTGGGTGTAATTTACCGGAAATCCCTCATCTATTTGTCCCGGTTTCTAGACTTGACTTCTTTGCTCTCTGAAGTTTTAGAATATATCATTTCTATAGTAATTTGCAAAATATTAAATATCCTACCAAACACCACCACAAGCATCTTCACTTTCAGGAAGCTAGACATTCCGTTGAAAGCTCCTTCGATTGAAGAGAAGCCTTCTAGGGAAGGGGAGTTTCTTCTTTTGGAATGAGTGGCTTTTGAAGGAGAAGGAAAGAAAGAGGAGAGACAGAGAAGGGACCATTTGGAGGGCACTGCCCTGGTGATGATTAGATCAGATAGCAATGCAGTTGAGGTGACCATGGTGGAAGGGAAGGAGAGTGGCCTTAATTATTTATGGCATACTTCCCAAATTACTTTTCGAGTCTAATGATTTCTCTTTTTGAATCGCCTTGGCTTTATCTCTTCATTTTGATTTTAAGCCGTGACAAAATTAAAGTATGATGTGGTAATTGACATAGAATCCATTTGGCGACCAAGCAAGGAGGTCCAGGTATTGCGAATCATTGTGCATGTGATCAAATCATTCTGCTGCCTTTGTGCATGTGCTGGTGCAGATCCCAAACCTCCTACCCCCTAACGCAGACCATCTTTTTTTGTATGGTTTTAGTGGCTTGTTAGCTTGATTTTCAACATAGACCACATTCCCCTAGAAGCTTCTGCCCACAAACTAGGATTTTTCTGATTGATGTCACTCAGGGATTGGAAGTTGTGATGGTTGTCCAATCTCCCATCCTTACCGAACAACCCCGAAAGAGACATGAAAGAAACCACTCCCAAGTAATTTGAGGTATTAGGATCCTTCATTTGAGTATTTTTGTAAAAGCCTAAACCAACTAAACAATTACCTACCTTCATCTCATCCTACTCCCTCTACTTATAACTAATTACTTGACTAATAACTAATATGTCCTTATTGACCTATTAATATTTTATTATTACCCGAAGGGAAAGGGCATTCTTATTATCAAGACAATGTGTCAAAAATGGTTTACAGCACCACATGGAAAAACCATTAGGCGTATGCATGCTTTATTATTAGACAACATACAGTAGTAAACTTATCCCTAAATTTTACCAGTTCAAATCATTCTGTGAACAATTAATTAAATGGATGATAGCGTTTTTGAACTTGAGGCAGTTGGATAGTGGTAGCATTACGGATTGGATCTGATTTGTCATTCTTTTCAACCAATGGAATGGACAATGGCAGTATATTGTATTGTCTCTCTGGGCTTCTACTCAATTGAGAAATAAGTTCACCCCCAGTATTTGTGGTTCATAGCCAAATGCGCTTAGCCCCACTTCATTTCAACTGAGTTTGTTCTTAGAGGTACCTCAAAGAAAGCAGTACCTGCTATCCCAAGATCAAGATGTGGGGTGAGTGAGAAAAGTGGACAAAAGTAATTGGGGTTTGGAATAAGAACCAGAGATGCTAAGTGTTGTGGGCATGCTTGTCCAGGGTGTGTTACCCATGGCCGCATGTCCAAACCATCCTCACCACTCGCTTTCCTTTCATGTCTTTAAAGCTTTCTAGTGTAATTTTCTTGTATCGGGTTTTTGAGGTTGTAGGTGGAATTTGGCCGAGCGGCTTTGGAACTAGGCGTGTATTAGTAAGATAGGTAAGCACGCCAAATTTCAAGCCAATCGGAGTTCACACGGGCCCTGTAGGCCACCGAGTGACTCCTCGCCACTTAGGACGTCTACACCTGCCACACCAAAAATGCCTTATAATGTACCTTAGGGGGGACCAAGTAGTCATCAAACCTCCCCCCGACCAAGTGTTGTATACTTTCTTGCAATCAAAGCTTTCTTGCATCCAATGTCTACAATGCTTGTTTTAAAGATGTTTTCAACTGTTTTTCTCTCTCACGTTTTCTAAAACTAATTTTCTCCTAAAACGTGAGCGGAGGCTAGACCCACGACCGAGATTGTCCGCAACTTACAGTTTTTCCCGACTGACTTGCTCGTTTGAGCTAGAGCAAGTGCCGCACAATCGCTCGAGCTGCTTTGAAAAGGTGTGATTGTGACACTAAGCTCTTTATCGTCCTAGCGTCGAGTTATTTTAATGCAATCTCCCCTGCACTGTGGTCACCGCATTCGAGTTTAACCCAACAGCCTAGGATGTTTCGGTGTAATTTACTCAGGACCTCACCATATGGAACCGTTGACGAAGAAAGGCATGAAATAAGAGTATAACAGCCCGTGGTTTCGACTTGTATACTCATAGTCCTGAAGAATAATCACATGAATATGTCTAAGGTTAGCTCCAAAGTTCACTGTCACAAAGCAAATGGGCTGCCAACTTTTTACTGCTCACTCTGTCTTTGCAAATTAGATATCTATGTATACAACAAGAAGGTAGCAGCACGCGTAAGGTACTTGGTATTTGATTTTTGACTTTGTGGTCTTCATATCTGATCATTATATCAACTACAATAGCACTAAGGCAAGGCAGGCTTTCCCACGTGAAGGAGGATAAAAACACTTTCGGTTTTTCTTTTCTTTATTTCTCTATCATTCTCAATAGTGAAAAGGAAAATTTCTTTAACTTCTTGTGGTTGTTGCTTTGTGAATTGTATAGATAAATTCTAACTTCTCTTTCTCTCTCTCTAGAAATGGGTGGAACAAGCTTTGAAATGTTGGAGCCTTTACTTTCTTATGCTTTGAATTTAATTCACTCCATTCATACCTGTTCTTTAGTTCAACAATGGATTGAACTAGTATTGATGTCTTATCTATTTTTTAAGTACAACGTATAGAGGTGGAGAATCTAACTCACGATCTTTTAGTTGGAAAAAATGTCTTAATTAGTTACATTATGCTCAGGTTGGCAATAATAAATATCTTATTTATTGAGCAATTGACACTCTACTCATATCTTTAATAGGCAGGAATGAGGCGAAAGTTTAAACTTTGGATGAAAGTCTTAAATAGGTTTTATTTTGTCACGTAGCTATGCAAGCTGGTTCGGACACGAATTACAAAACAAAAGAAAAAACGTAGTTTGAACTATTTTTGGCAGGTTTATGACTTTGATGTACATGAGTTTAATCCTTTGTATTTGTTTGTCTTAATTTTTCTTTTCTGGTTTACATATAGTTTTGGTCGTTGATATTTTTTTTTTCCTTTGGCTTCATCTGATGGTGGTTGACAAGGTTTATGTCGGTAAAAATATCGAGATCTCAAACCTGCATTGGCTGTTGATCAATCAAATGATCGGTCGATCAAAGAGCTTTGCCCAATTTTATGGAGATGTCTAGAAAATATCGATTGTTTGAAAAAATTTAATATAAAAAATTCATAATAAATATTTAAACTAACAAATAAACCCCCATTTTTAGGCAAGTTAGAAACTTTTATTAATCAATATTATGTTCACATTATTATGTTTTGTTGATTTTCTTTTTAATATTTTGTCGATTTTTTTAGCGTTACAATAAAAATGTCTATTCATTTGCTCTTAAGAATATATATATATTTTCTTTTGACAAGAAAAAAAAAGGCTTGAGGATATGATATCTGAATAGCATGATGCCATCCTTGAAATTTTCATGCAATGATCCATGCTTGAGCTTGTCGTACGTCATTATCCCAATCTTTTTTCATTCTTGGAGACGTACGATTATGCAATGATGTTTCTCTACGACTGTAGATCTTGTATATATATATATATATATGCTCTTAAGAATATATATATATTTTCTTTTGACAAGAAAAAAAAAGGCTTGAGGATATGATATCTGAATAGCATGATGCCATCCTTGAAATTTTCATGCAATGATCCATGCTTGAGCTTGTCGTACGTCATTATCCCAATCTTTTTTCATTCTTGGAGACGTACGATTATGCAATGATGTTTCTCTACGACTGTAGATCTTGTTTAGAGGACTACTTTAAGATATTTTATTTTATTTTTAGCGATTTATCCGGGTTAAAGTAGAATTTTTGTTTGCTTGAAAATTATTATTATTATTATTAAAATGAAGATATTTACATCTAACCAATTTGAGAATGACTCTGTTGTGGAAGCATATTTATTGGTTTCTTTGAGATTGAAAGTTCAACTTCCTATTCCTATTCAATTACGGAACTCGGAAAAAAATAGTCACTTGAATGTATATTTTTGTTGAATCCTCATTTTAAAAATTGCGATTAGAAAATTTGAATATGCATAATAAATTAAAGACGTGAATTTATAATTTTTATTTGAAGAAAAGAAGGAATAAGTTTAAGAAACTGGTTTATTTGTAAGTTTATGATTTCAAAGTTAGTAAGAGTTGA